GAACGAGTAACTCCGTACGCGAGAACCAGGTAGTGAAATAGTTCTTCCTCGAGTCAAGATTATGCATAGAGTAGCGGAATGGGGTCTTGAACTGAACGACGGTAACTTCATCGCCGTTGTGATCCTGGACCACTTTGGTTTCCGCCGAGGCGAATTTCTCTTCTATATACTCCTTGGACGGGATGAGATCGTTGATACTGAACTCCATTTTATAAATTGGTTTAGTGTATTTAAACCAATTTCAATTTTGATATCAAACTTTACAAATTTTGGATATCCGCATCATCCACCCACGAGTTAAATTTCGCCGGACGCCCACGCCACTTGACCAGGTGCTTCTTTTTACCGCGAACTGTTTTCGTTTGGAGAATTTCCTCGATTATTGCGGTATCCGATGGTTTCGACACTTTCTGTAATTCCTGATTGTAAATTGGGGAATCGATATCCTCACCCGCCAGATCTTGGATTTTGTATGTGACGGGAGTGGTTGGATTGATTCCGACCACAATAAAGGTTTCTTCCGTCCATTTCACGACTTTCGACGTATTCGCAAACGGATCACGTTTAATACTCATCTTGACATAATCACCGACCTTAAATTTCGCGCTTTGTTGTGGGATTTTATTCCACTGCGCTTGGAGGGTTTCCTGGATTTTTGATTCGTTTTCCGGATTGCGCGCTTGTGTCGGGGTCATTTTGATGGTGGAATGTCGAGTCGTGTTGTAATTTTCCGTTAAATCCGGCAACACTGAGACCCAATCGAACGTGTTATTGTGACGGCTGTATCGTGTCCATCGCATTTTCATCGTGAGAATAACGCGTTCCGCCATCGATGTCTTCGTATCACTATTCGAGTGATAATGGGTGATGTTGTACTTTTCCATTAATTTAGTCATCGGACTATTGAAAAACTCTGTCCCTTGATCCGTTTGGAGGAGGGACGGGTGACGATTGTCGGTGAGGACCGAGGCAAATGCTCGCGAGACTTCTTCGGCACCTTTCGTTTTCAACGGGATAGTCCATAAAAATTTGGAAAAGGTATCGATAATCACCAGGATGTAACGATACCCTTTGTTATGTTTGATTTGGAAATTCATATCCGCGAGATCGGCTTGCCACAAGTAATCCAGTCCGCGAGTGATCGTCGGCCGGCGTGGAAACTTGAAGGAATTCGGTTTCAAATAAGTGTATGAATCTTCCGTCGTTAAATCTTGTGGCGGAAGTCCCTTCTCTTTTAGCTTTCGGTTGAAGGCGGTTTGTCCAATAAATCCGAACTTTGGATCAGTGTATGACATTTTTGTGTGTGGGTGGAAAACTTTTATGAACTTTGTTTCCAGGCTCCGGTGTTTTACGCGCGCGAATAAAAAATCAATTTTGGCGAATCGAAAATTGATATCAATTTAAATTGTTTTCAACTATTTTCAAAAATCATGGCCATTCGTCGTACCCGAAATCGTGTTCCTCAAACTCAACAACCCGCTGACTGTTCCCAATGACTCGGATGCAAAATGAGGGCTCTCAATATGGAAGTCATTCGATCCATTCTATCATTTCGG